GCTGTGGCCTAAACCCTTTGAACCTTTTGTTCTAATTTGTTGCACTATCGCGGCCAACAGTCGCAGTACTGACGCGCACAAGGAAAAGCTGACGCGGATGCATCTTTTTAAGACTGTACTGACGCGAACTATCGCGGCGTGATTTCAGCTTATTTAACCTAATTTCACTGACGCGGCCACAGCGGGAGCCATTTTTTGGAAAATGCAAAGCTTAGCAAGGAGCTCGTTCCTTTATTGCAGGCTTATAGTGCCCCTTAAGTAGATAGAACATGGCTTTGAGTACATTATAATGAGATCTCCATATACCCCATATTCTATCTACTTAAGGGAGACTATTAGACATCATGGGGTTACATTGGACAGGTAGCTGAGCCTTTCCTCCAAGACACAACACAACCTGATTGCAGAGAGGCTTTTTGTTTGTTTTGGTGCTGCTGCGCGCAGGTTGGCTGGAGCAACTAGGCCGAGGAGGCGGAGGAGGAGGATCTGGAGGACGAGGAGGAGGAAGAGTCGCTGGAACTGCTGTCATCTTCAGACTCTTGGTTCCCGCGCAAGGCCTTCAACTTCCGGCGCTTCTTAGCGGCCGCCTTCTGGAGCGAACGTGCTTTCGAAGAACATGCGTCCAAAAAGGATGGTCGTGCTCTTACAGATGGATGGGGTCGAAGAGATTTCTGCTCCATGAATTTGCGGGTGATGCTGTTTTGCTCCCCGGGCTGGGGACCAGATTCCTCCCAAGAACGCGGCTGATCATAATATCCGACCCTCCACTTCACGGGAGGGTCGGCGTTGTTTTCTTCCAAATGCCATGTCAACAAAATGCCGGGGGGGTTGTCAGAAAAGATCTTGTTGCGAATAGAAACTCCAGTTTCGGTGAGGTGCGACAATGATGAAATCAGCGAGTACGTTCGCGTCACTTTGAGGCCGTCCGCGTGAAGATAAATGCGTTTGGATGGACGGTAGTCACCGGGCTGAAACTTGACGATCACGAACTGTGGGCCACCAACATCCTCCTGCATCATACGCGTGCTTCCTGCCTTGAAATGCCCCATATGACACGAAAACATCCTGTTTCCTAAGCTCATACCTTGAATTTCCATACGAAACCAATACGAAAGACTACCGTTATTGAAGAGAATGCTTGAGTGTGTAGTTTTCCGCTAGACTTTGGAGATTTGGAGGGACATGTGCCTGGAAGCATGACATGAGATCTGCCAAGCCATGTATGGGATACCGGAGAATGTACTGCTCGATCCATCCGTTGCACCAGCCGAAGCACCGGTCGACGCCTGATTTGCCGTGTTGTTCGCCCAGATAGCATATCTCAACAGACACCTGCAAGGCCCGCGGCAAAGTGTACAGGAAGTGTGCCAGATTTTCCTTGCTGCGGAAATGGGGCCCGCAATCACAGACAAGAAGAATGTGGGAGACGACAGACCAATCGACTTGCCGGTGTTGTTTAAGCTGCGCCAGGACAGTGTTCGTCATCATACACCCCGCTTGGGCGTCGTGGTCGAGGACGTCGCTCACCACCAGCACAAATACCTCCACATGGCCACCGCCCAACCTTGCAGGCCGTGTTTGGGCATAGAAAACTGTTCGATGTTGAGCCCTTACAACGACATGAAAACATGGGAATCAGTTAACTTACTGAACGAGAATCTTCGGGGCAAGGGCGTTGGCACCAAAAACTGTCAACGACAGTTTGTTCTGGGCGTGCCAGTCCTCACTGGTTTCCTTGGGGCTCATGGGGTACTTCACGTTTTCCTTAAAATCCATTTGCACCAGGAGTGTGTTGGCCGGAAGCTCGCCAGACCGAAGATCAGTGATGAAGCCTGTTTGCCTAGACGCCGTTATCTGATGCCACTCGTAAGCCTCGAGTATCTCGACATGAGGCTTCAGCTTGTGAGCTGCAGCAGCCTCCGCCGTATGCAAGGAAAGGCGCTGTGCACGAGTCATAGTTGCTCTCAACGGATCATTGCTGGAATCTGCGTTCCTCACATTGATATACTGCATGAAGGACTTGATTTCAGCAACCACTTGCTTGTCGGCTTGCAGACGTTGGGTCGAACTCGAAGAATCGTAGGAAGAGAAATAGCCCGAGCAGAACTGCTGAAGAACACTGCGTACCTTGCCTACAAGTTTCACAGCACGCGGTAGCAACTCATCTGAGAAGTGTTTACAATGTTTGCACACATCTGTGTCCCTGCGTGCGTTTCGGATGTGTGGAAAGTGAAGGCGGAGAACTCGACGAAAAGTCTGCCAACTCATATTCCCATGCAGTTCGGGGCTTTGGCACCAAATGCGGTAGCGAGGGGCCGTCAAAAGGCTAGCGACCACCATCTGCTTGTGGTTGCCGCGCCCCACAACGACAATGTTTGCAGATTCGCGTAGATGGGATGACACATTCGTCCTAACCAGGTCTATGGTAGAACTGGCATGCGTCATGCTGGGTCGACCTCCGAGGTTGGCTTGCTTGGCGACATTGGTTTCCTGGGACTCCGTAGCCATTTTTTGTAGTTGTGCCCAGCGATGTTTCGACAAAGAGAAACCCATGCCAGATAAACGATCACGGGAGATACCAGTGGAAATGAGAAGACCGTCCACGTCATTCAATGAAAACAAAGGTTGATGCCGGGCCTTGCCACTCTCGCGCTCCTGCCGTAAGGCAGCGAAGGAACTGACCAAGGTACGTGCACTCAGACCATCCGAGCAGGACTCAACAGCGGAACGCAGGACGGGCACTTCGCGGACTAAACTCGCAAAAAAGTGCTTCGTCATAGCAACAAAATCGGATTCATCGTGAAGATGCGGCGACGCCAGTTTCAGGAACGAAGTGACAAGACTGGATTGGTACTGCTTAGTCAGTTCTCGCCAGGGCTTGCCTTTAGCAGCCATGTGGCCAGTGTGGGAATGAAACAGTTTGAGCACTGCACGCCAAAACGCATACTTTCAAAGAGTACCGGTAAACCACGAAAGGGGATTGCTGGTAAAATGGCCCCTGGACTGTCGCGGCGCTGTCGCGGATCTATCGCGGTACTATCGCGGATTTCTCGAGAGGACTTGAAATTGTAGGACTGTAGTCTTTAGTTACTCACGTGCTCCATTCCCAAAGGTCGTGAATCCCTCAGAAAAACCTTTGCACGCTAGCATGTGTACACTGCGTGACATAATCGTTAAACAATGGGACGTGTTCAGTACTTAGGAAAAGGGATCATCACACACAATCCGCAAGTTCTGGAGGACAGAATCATTCAACACTAAGGGTTTTGCGTAGTATTCGTGCAGAAGCCATCAGAAGCCTACCCCATCCTCTAACAATACACGCCCAACTGTTGCTTCCAACACCTCAAAACTATGGTCAAACCCTTATAGATTTCCCTGCTCAACTGCGAAACACCCAAGGAATGCTGAAAGTGTTTAAAGCTTGGAACTCAAGCACCTGTCAAAACCTGAGTGGATCATTTTCGGGCTGGGATATGGTCTAGGATCAACGGTTAGCGCCTCTGGGAAGCTCGAAAGTTTTCGCAAGTTGGTGGCTCATGTTTTCAGGACAGGGGTACTCTTAAAGGCAATGCCATGACTGGGATGGGACAACAAATTAAGCCACAACATGCAACAATTACGAGAAGCACATCATCCCCCTGCACAGTGAAGACTCGCCCCATATCCCTGTAACTAAGTTCTGCTTATTGGGGGGGTTACAGCACCTAATGGGGCAACTCAGATCCTACACAGGGCCTCTTTGTAAATGCGAACCTTAAGTGGGCCAAAGTTCGTAAAGATATCGCTGTAACTAAGTTCTGCTTATTGGGGGGTTACAGCACCTAATGGGGCAAATCAGATCCTACACAGGGCCTCTTTGTAAATGCGAACCTTAAGTAGGCCAAAGTTCGTAAGGATATCCCTGTAACTAAGTTCTGCTTATTGGGGGGTTACAGCACCTACTGGGTCAAATCAGATCCTACACAGGGCCTCTTTGTAAATGCGAACCTTAAGTAGGCCAAAGTTCGTAAGGATATCCCTGTAACTAAGTTCTGCTTATTGGGGGGTTACAGCACCTGTGTCATATTTCATTGGGCACATCCGTTCTGTTTTGCTTAGTGGGGCGTTGAAGATACTGCGCAGGGCCTGCATATGTACCGGAGCATGCACAATACGGGACCTCCATACAAATAGGAAATTGTGCTTATTGGGGATTACAGCACCTGTGATCTACTTTGCTTGGACCATGTCTGGACTTCTGCTGGGCAGCTCTCAAAGGTTTAGGAGTTAGGGTGTACGGTTTGGGGTCCCGGGCTTAGGTCTTAGGATTTCGGGTGGGGGGTCAGGGTTACGGTTTAGGATTTAAGGCTAAATATTTATAATCCAAGGAACTATGAAACAAACCGTTTTCTTGTAGGTCTAAGGGGATTACGGAGGAGCCTGCTTTTGCTGTTGCACCCGACTCCCACGCCCGCTGCCGACCAGTCTGGAAGGCTTGCATGTTGGGCCCCGGGAATTTAAGGCTACAAGTCATACTGACTTTGGACCGTAAAGTCAAAAAATAGTAGCAATAGTAGCGAATTACCCTAATCTCTAAACCCTCCTGGAATGTTCATGGACAGAATCCTGCATGACCTTACATTGCCCAAACAGACCATAGAATAATCCTAATATGCTGAGTATGGGCCTTGCAGGATTTTCCCCATCAACCGTGCCACTGGGGTCATGCCCTCAGGGTGGGCCAGAGTACACACGCGTGTTTCTTTGCACCAAAGGCGCAGCTAGCACGTGAAAGCCAAGTCTTGCATTGACGTTGAACCCCTGCAATGCTCTCACAGGAGGGTTTCCCTCCGTAAGGCCTTAACACGTCTCAGCAGCCTTGCTTAAGCAAAGCTTGCTTCGAACCTATCCATCAAACTTTCAAATCTGTCAGCCAATGCCTCCAGGCGCTTCAAGCGCTGCGACTCTGAGTCTGACCCACTGCGTGTTGCTTTTTCCTGCGCTTCCAGCGCCGCAGCACGAAAAGCGGCCTTCAACTCAGGATCTGCAATGACTTCGGAAATGCGTTGGTGCTTGAAATCTTGCCTGCACTTGAGCAAGCAGCGCTCACAAACTCCTGATCGCTGTCTGGATGAGCGTGGCAGCCCACAGCAGGAGCACTCGTCAGTTTTGTTCACCCGTCCACCAAACCCATCAGGCCTTTTGAAAGGCTTCTTGGAAGGGTCTGCCTCCTTCTCAGGCGTGAGCTCATCTTCTGGGACCTTTCGCTTGCATGACTTTTTTGGCGTGTCCTCACCCTTCTCAACCTCCGGGACTGGTGCCATTGCCTCAGCCAAGTTGTCGGTAGCTGCGATGTTCGGCTTTGCGGCTTTGACTTTGGAGGGCTTGGGAGGCTGCGGGGCATCCCGACACCCAACAGCGCCACCGCTGGCCGGATTTGAGCTACTTGCCGAGGAAGTTGACAACGCATCTTTTCCAGTAGTTGTTGCCGTCTGGGAAGGAATGCTGCTCTGCGCTGGCTCCTCGCAGGCAACGATTTCTAAGCTTTCTTTGCCGGAGCAGGCGTACAAGGCTACTGGGGCGGGAGTGCGAAGCTACAGGTTGCACAGGTTTGGCCGGAATCTAATGCCTGTAGAAGTTGTAGCGTTGGATCTTCAACTGGCCCTGCTTTGGATGACATGCTTGGACCAGCCGATCCATGCTTGCTCGTTTCATCTGCCCCCTTCTGCTTGCCAGAACTCGAATCCTTTTTGCTGAGCTTGGCCGGCTTCACCTGAATCTTTGACAACACGCCTATATGCCGCCACTTGCGCAAATCAATTGAGTGGGGGTCAAAACTCCTATTATTTTTGTATGGAATTTGCTTAAGGTAGGTCTCGAAACCCAGGGTTCAGCTTACCATTCCCTTTTGATGGAACCAGAATATTAGCTGCATTTCCAGTTGCTTCTGCCGCCGCAGCCGTCTTGCGCTTGGGTTTCGGGTTTTCAGCCTGGAACTCAGCCAGGGTCACGTCGGCTTCGTCTGGCTTGGCATCTTTGGCGGAAGGTTCGCTGTCCTGTTCAGAGGCTTTACCCAATCCAGGTGCACGTGAAGTAGTTGGGGGTCCATGGACGTGGCAATTGCCTTTAAACTGGCGCGCTAACTCTACTTGAAGCTACTCGGGGAAACCTACATAAAATCCTGGAGATATTCGACTTATAGATAGCGCTCCGACCCGATTTCAATCGTTCCTAAACCCTATGAGAACCTCACAACCTCTCCCTGAGCAGCGCTCCTTGCCCTGCTTGGGTTTGCGCCCCATGTTCGCAGCCAAGCACTCTAGAAGATCACAATGTATCATGCATCAATCGTGCAAGTCAGGCTTCAGACTACTATGTGCAAGTTACCCTGTGCACGTGCCATAGCTGCCATAGCCATGTAATAAGACATATGACAGACATTCTAGGCACGCAAGCTGACCCTGCAGAGCCAAGCACCAATCGCAAACCGAGCAAACGTCTCCTGTCGCGAAGACTATCGCCGTGGGAATGTTCATGTTTTACTGACGCGAACTGTCGCGCACACCATAAAAGCTGACGCGGCCAGGTATTACTTTCATGTTTATATAAAACTCCACATGGGGGGTTTTGGCCGCTGCTCA